TATAGCGTTATTTTTATTTACCTTGACTTTAATTTCGTTTATTACATACAGCTAACATTACGATAATTGTGATTATTATTGACAAGAATCTGATGGAAAACAGAACGACAGGGTAACTATAACCATGCCTTTTGTATAAAAATTTGATACCTTATCAATAAATAATGTTCAGAAAGTTATACTTATAGATTGCTCTTTTTAAACACATGAAGAAAACAAGACAAGAAAACAAGACAATAGTTAAGTACAATGTAAATTAAGTCTGAAATAACATATGGTAAGGTTTAATTCATAACAAAGTAGAATTTGCTCAGTCATCTGAGACAGGGTACCGTAAATATCTGTCTATAACTGTAAATCACTTATTTTCATGGTGTCAAATTTTCGTGGTTTGAAGAAAAAATATGGGTTCATGGGTATCATATTTCGTGGATGAAGAATTGTTCAGCAGTTTTGTATATGACATTTTACATTTCGTGGTGGACACGAATTAGTGTGTTTCTTCAAACCTTGAAAACAAAGACAATTCAATCCACACGAAAATAAGTAATTTAACTGTAATTTTTCCCAGGACTATCACAGATGACGTAATAAGGATAAGTCCAGTGTTGTCCCTGTCTGCTTTTAAGGAGGGGGATTATATCAGTCTGGAACATACGTTTACACTGCAACATTATGCTTCAATCATTCAGGTGAATGCAAGCAAGTATAATTAAATTTACATAAATATAATCATTAATTTTATTAAGTAGAAACTCTTTTTTTGCAAAAACGCGGGAACAATTCTTTAAAAAATATAATTTGGCCGTATTACACATTTTAGCTTGAGAAGGGATTTGACTTTTCATTGCAAATAACTATATAGACACATTCCCTTTATTATTTTTTTTCTTTTCGTTTGTTTGTTTGCTTTTATTGTTTTGTTTATTTTTTTCATTTATAAATTAAAGAGATTAATGGATGAACACTTTTATGTAGGATGGCTATTTGGAAAATGGCACTGTAAAATGTGGCTTTATAGACAAGCAAACAAGGTGGGTTCATTAAATTAGGACATAAAATTACATGTATTGTAATTGATTATCAACATCGAATCTGTGCTAAGTTTATTTACATTTTTCTACCTTTCAATACTTTGACAACGCATATCATCTTTAGATACCTTTGTAACCACAGGTCATGGTCTTATGACGGATGTGTCGTATTACTCACATCTTTATGGAATACAACATGCTTCTGTAATCATACGACAAATTTTGCAATACTTATGCAAATAAAGGATTTCAAGGTAAAAATAAAGTGGTGTTAGGATGGTAAGTTTTTTTTGTCACCTGAATCCTTCTTGTGACTATCTCTTTTGCTATCGTGTTATCTGTTAGGTTTTTTTTCGTCATAGTTCGTCGTTCTCGTAATTTTTTTTAACATTTTCACCTTCTTCTCTAGAACCGCTGAACCAATCTCACCAATTTTGGTATATAGCATCAATTATTATATAATGTAGAACAAAATTGGTGAATTTCATGGTATCCGCTCCACTTGGGATTGAGGGCTAAAACCATAAAAATTAATACTGTATACAGGGAAAATTTCGCCCCCGTTTTATCTTGCCCCTTTCAACCTACTCACAGATTAGCGAATTTAAAACGGTGCAAATTCAAAAAACACAGTATAATTTCTTTAACAGAACTGTGAGTGGGCGAATTTGAAACGGGGAAGAATGACCGTTAATTAAAGGCCCTTTGGCCTCTTCTTAATTTATCTTGAGGAATGGTTGTATAAAGTGTAGAAAAGTCATACATTTTGTTTCTTTGTCCTTATTTATCGGGCAAAAAGGAATGAGATGTGTTGAGAACATAAATTTAGCGCAGAATACCCCTGAAACTGTACGATTTCCAAGCAAAACCGATGAACCTGAATCCATTACCACAGTATCTCTATTTCTACGAAAAGAGACGTTTTCAAGAACTTGTAAATGGCTATTGTCAAGAAAATCCAGCTTTATTACCCGCACAATATTCCTCTTTTCATACCAGTACTTTTTATTTTCATAACTTCCATGCTTCCACATAAGAATGGTTGTGATATAATGAAATACAAACAGAAAAAATACTGATGAATCTGCATTACATGGCTCCACGAACATTTTCCCTCAATCTTTTTTTTTAGGTTGAAAGCATCCATGCTTTGGCCCTCAACATAATAACATATATTGGGTGCACTGTTTCATTGGTCACTCAGGTGATAGCCATCACAGTGTTTTCCTGTGTTGGGTGAGTAGTAAACAGATATTCATAGAAAGATGGCTAATTGATTTTGCAATTTAGCTATAATTACCAAAGTCCCGATTAGTAATAAGTTAAAGTATATTTTCAGATCCTTAAATTCGGAGAGAATTTGTGTACACAAAAATCTGTGCTATGCGATAACTGCAGCACAGTTAGTGTTTTTGATGGGTATCAAAGCAGTTCAAATTAAGGTGAGACTTACTAGTCCCGCTGAGGCGTTTGTCTCTCTCTCTCTCTCTCTATTTGACTGCATTAGTCTGCACATTTTTATATATCATTTCCTTAGAAGGAAGTAATTTCTGATGAAATTTGAATTCAAATTATATTTCAAGAACTGTCAATTTTGGACATAAAATATAATAATTATGTTGTAGAATCTCATTCTTTTTTTTCTTTACAGATTATTTGTTCTATTATTGCGCTTTTATTGCACTATTTTTATTCCGCTGTATTTGTGTGGATGCTGGTTGAGGGGTTGCTTCTGTACAGTAAAGTTGTTCAGGTCTTTGGATCTGAAAAGTCCCGGATTGCATATTACTACGTTTTTGGTTGGGGTGAATAAACTTTCTAATTTTAAGACAGAATTATTTAGGGAGAAAAACTTTAGGAATTATTATTGCCTCTGAGAACAATGTAGCCAAATATCCTTAGAACATAGCTGAATTTTGAAGAAAAATAATAGTAGTCGTTGTTATATCCTTTATGATCTTCCATGAGTCATTGTAATATGGACCCTTTGATACGTTTTATTTATTGTCTATGATTTTTTAAATTAAAGTAATTCGCTGATGCTAAATTAACTATCTGAAGTGCTAGAATTCATTATATAGTATAAGTTATAGGTGTTAACAAAATGTGTTTGATTGTCTTATAATTTTCATTCGTTCAGGACTTCCTTTGATAATTCTTATCGTATCAGCCACAGCAAATTGGAAAGGATATGGAACAAAACAAAGGTAAATTTTGTTAATGATGTCATTCATGTTGCATATTTTCAAAGATTGTATTTAAGTTTAATCATGATTATGATGTTAATTTGATTTTCTGAGTAAAGTACTTTTTACACGTACTGCACCATGCATCATATAAATCTGTTGGTAAACAAAGACACCATGAATATATTCATTATGAAAGTACTTGAATGACCATGCACTTGATACTACATGTTCGCGCACTTTGTTGCATGAAACCTTTTCTGTAAATGTTATCTTTTTTTGGCGATTCGTATTCTCTTTCTTGATCACCTGATCAATCAGGTGACCTGTTGCTAAATGTTTTTGTCTGACGTCGTCCGCCGTGCTTCGTGTGTTAATATTTGAATATTTACAACTTCTTCTCTGAAACTGCTGAACCAATTTCAACCAGTGTTGGTATATAGCGTGTATGATTGAAGGGAAACAGCTTTCTTGAATTGCATGGTCTCTCTGTTCCCACGGGGCCTGAGGGATCGGGCTAAAATCATCAAAATGAAAACAATCTTTAAAAATATTCCTCTTAGCTCCTGGACATCAAGCAGTCTAACTGTTGGCATGATTCTAATAAATGTTGAGTCCTATACCAAAACTGTGAAATTCCTAACCTCAGGATCAGAGATCTTGGTGATAGACGGGGCTCTATCGATTATATACATGTAGTGAAAATGTATTACAAACTAAGAGCATGATTATGATGAGCTAGGATGCCTTTCCAGCATAAAAGAAACAAGGCCCTTGGGTCAGGGATCTGGTGTGAGGATGATGCTATATTGATCATACAGTGAAAAATGCATTAATTTCTTTGAAAAATCTTTTCTACTCCTTGATGTGAAGCAACAAAGTAAGTCATGGTTATGGTAGTGCCGCTCCAAAGGTTTTGGTATTGAGGTGGGGCTTTATTGATCGTATAGTGAAAATGCATTTTTTTTTTTGTTTTTGGAAATCTTCTTTTCTGCTCCGAGGTATTAAGCAGACAAACTAAGTGTATAGTTATGAGGAGCTAGGGTATCTTTTCCAAATTTGTACAATTCATGGCCCTGGGTCAGGGATTCCGAAATTAGGACGAGACTTTATTCATAGTATAGATAAAATGCGTTAATTCTTTGAAAATCTTCTTTATTCTTCAGTATTTAGCAGTCAAACTAAGTGCTTAGTTATGATGTGCAAGAGTGCCTCAATCTGGCAAAATTGTGAAATTCATTGCCCCTGAGTCAGGGCTTTGGATCGTGCTGGGTTTACTTTGCAAAAATAAGTTATCTGCTAAAGCACAATTGTCTTGTTACGTTTTGTGATAGAGTGTAGATAGCATTGGCAAATACAGGCAAATTTCTGATTGTTGCTGATTACAAGACTATTTTGTTGATCTCTGATCATCCCGTTTTTCTTGCTCTTAAGTTCCAGTTTATTTGTGTAATTCTATACATGTAATCGATCCTTTAAAGGGATGTATTAAACTCAAGCATTATTGTACAATTGATCCTTTACAGGGTTGCATTATACTCATGTGACCAGTAATCTTGGATCTCTTGTTGATTCTAGGGTTGTCAACGTCTCCAAATTTGCATTTTAATTAATTTGAAGTTCCCATTTCACCACGAAATATGAAGTTTAGGATTATACATGCTACGTTAACTGAACTGACATATGGTGAAAAAATAATTTATGTTTTGTGCATATTTGTACATACATATTTCATATGTAATTTATTCGAATGGCTTATATAGTTGCTGGCTATCAATGTCGGATGGTACCGTTTGGGCCTTTGTTGGTCCAGCTGTGTCAGTCATTGTTGTAAGTCAATAGTATATTATATTATCCAAAATTGATCAATCCTAAATGAAACATTAATAATGCATCGTCAAAATATTGATATCAAAAAAAATATTCTATTTAAAAATAATACTTGAAATTGAAACAGTAAAAGAAAGAATAAAAGATTGTTTGGCACTTGATTAAGAAAGATTACTAAATTAAACATGTATAAAATTTCGATTTCAGAAACATAGCTTATTGCGAGTATTTCTTATGTGATGTTTAATAAAGTAATTAATATGTAAATAAAATGATTTTTTTTAGGTAAACATGGTAATTTTATGGATTGTAATCCGTATTATTGTACATCTTGAGAGATCTGATGAATATAGGCAGATCAGGTAATAAGTTTCTTTAGTTTTCTTAGTGCAATATATAATTTCATAAATTATCTATAGTTACAAGAGTTGAAGTTTTCTTCAATTAGTTGAACTTTTTAAGCATTTGATTTTTAGTTAGGATTTTCATTTAACTATACATGTAATAGTTTAGTTTAATTTATGTGACCCAAATTTTTAATGTTAAATTATCACTTTTATGAAATTCGAGCATGAACCATTAAAATGCTTGTTATAACTAAATCCTACTCACCAATTATACCAACGTGAATTTAAATACCACGAAACGTCTTAATAAAGAACACATATACGTGTTTCACGAACATAATATCACAAACTATAATAATTAAATAATATATTTATAACTTACAAGTATACTCAAATAAGTGACCAGACTAAGAACTTAGTACAATCATGATTTGCAAAGTCTGTACATGAGTAATCTAGTGATATAATTCAGTATGCTAATGAATTTAAAAAAAAAAGAATTTTAAGATTTTCCTGTTACTCCCCACTAATTACTACTTAAACCTTGCACTTAATTACAAGAAAAAAAATCACTGAGTAATTTAGCATTTTCCCCAAAAATTTTAAATTATGATAAATATATATTAGCAACTATTAAATACATACCAATAAGATACAACACACTTCACAAGGATTAATCATAAAATTCTCAAATACACAGTACCATGTTGCGATGATAATTTGTTTTTCTCAGGAATGTCTGTAATCAATTTGTCAATCTGAACGAAATCTGGGTGACATATTGTTATTGTCCCACTTAATGTTGTAAGAAAGAGTTCTAGCAGATTGCTCAGATAATCTTAATAAAACTTCTCAGTAATAATCAGCAAACGTAATTATGCATGTTACATTCAAAATAGCCGCCCTTGGGGAAGGTCAGGCCCCTAGACCATAAACCGAGAACAGACTTAAGTCAGATATTCAAACCAATATAACTTTTGAAATAATTTTGGTGAAAAAAAATTTTTATCATATATTTGAATTTAAATGTTATATAAAAGTGTCAAATATTAAGCAAATACAAAACCTAAGATATTAAAAATCAAAATTTTGTCTTAAGGTATGTCACTCGTCAGCCTTTTAGAAAATTTCAGTCAGAACCTCTTACTTAAAAACTATTTATTACAATTCAATCTTTTTAACATATTTAAATTAAACAATGTAAAACGTTCAACACTCAATTAAAAAACTGCTCAAAAATTCATAAAGAAGCAAGATTTATTGGGGACTATTTCTTGTGGTGGAAGGATATTTAGCAGAAAATTCTGCAAATCTACACATTTATCAAAATTAATATCTTGGAACTTTAGCCTCACATACTTTTACTCAGAGAATATTTTCCGTTAATTATAATACGCCTGGAATATTAAATATAGGTCTCAATTTATATTTTTATAACAAAATTTACACCTTCGCTCAACAAACTTTGCCAAGAATTGAAGATATATTAAGGAAGTCGAGATAAAATTTACACAGTTTTTTGCCAGAAAATCGCATATTTTGACCAATATTTCAAAATTTACATCACTGACCCCAACTTTTTCTTTCATTATTTTAAAGTACTCGATACTTTTGACCGATCAGCACTTAAGTCGTAAAAAGTTTGATACAAGAAAATATTCTATTGCCTATTTAGATTTTTAATACCCCAAATATGAGACTTTTTTAGTGCAAAAAGGTCACACAATAATTTACGCGCATTAATTTGCATGATTTGTTCAATGATAAATATTATTCAAACTATTTTACTTAAAATAAGATTAAGTTTCTTGCCATGGTTACATCTGATAAAATATGATAACGGTTAAAGTGATTAACCAAAGAGTTACAATTTAAGTACAGAAAGGTCAACTTAATTGTACCATAGCTCATTTTAATGCACACTGACCCCCCATTTTCTCTGTGATTTTGAGTCATACTATACAAGTACTTATCCAAAATATACTTCTCAAAAAATCCTTCATATAACAAATTTCACGAGTGACATACCTTAAGTCTATTCTCAGATTATGGTCTTAGGGCCAGTTCGATGATTTAGCTACTAACTGATTGCAATAGCAATGTTTCTAGTTTTATTTTTATGCCCCCGTATCGAAGATTCGGGGATATATAGTTTTTGCCCTGTCCGTTCGTCTGTCTGTTTGTCTGTCCGTCTGTCTAGCTGTTTGTTTATCTGTTTGTCTGCAAGAACTTTAACCTTGCCCATAACTTTTGATTGGTTCTAGCTATTGCTTTCATATTTCACATGTGTAATCCTTGTGACAAGACCTTTCATAGGATACCACTTTGACCCTTTGACCTTGACCTAGGAGTTTGACCTACTTTTGGAAAACTTTAACCTTGCCCATAACTTTTGATTGGTTCTAGCTATTGCTTTCATATTTCACATGTGTAATCCTTGTGACAAGACCTTTCTTTGGGTACCACCATATTTGACCTTTTGACCTTGAAGTTTGACCAAGTTTTGCAAAATTTTACCAAACTTTTACCTTGGCTATAACTTTTGAACAATTGGTGCTAGGGCTTTCATACTTCACATGTGTAATCCTTGTGACAAGACCTATCTTTGGAGTTTGACCTACTTTTGGAAAACTTTAACCTTGGCCATAACTTTTGAACGGTTGGTGCCAGGGCTTTCATACTTCACATATGTAATCCTTGTGACAAGACCTTTCATAGGATACCACTTTGACCCTTTGACCTTGACCTAGGAGTTTGACCTACTTTTGGAAAACTTTAACCTTGGTCATAACTTTTGAACGACTGGTGCTTCGGCTTTCATATTTCACCTGTGTATTGACCATTTGACCTTGACCTTGATGTTTGACATATTTTTGAAAAACCTTTATCCTTTTCCATATCTATTCAATGGTTGCTGCTAGGGCTTTCATATTTCACAGGTTTATTCCTCGGGACAAGACCTTTCTTTGGGTACCAACATATTTGATTTGCATTTTAGAAAGTTTAACCGTTGCTTTAAGTTGCCATACGGGGGCATCGGTGTTTCACAAACACATCTTGTTTTTCTTGGTTTATCATAACATTTTCGTTTCAGGTCAAGTATCAAAGGCGCCATTTTCCTTCTTCCTCTCTTAGGTTTGACTTGGATATTTGGACTCATGGCTGTAAATGAAGATACAATCATTTTTCAGTATCTTTTTGCTATCTTTAATTCGCTACAGGTAAATACACTTTTGTTTTATATAAAAACAAAACAAAAAAAAATTTGTATAAAAAACAAATATATATATATATATATATATATATATATATATATATATATATATATATATATATATATATATATATATATATATATAGACATGCATATGTTTCATTTCTCAAACTAAATACCAAAGGCAAATGTAATTATATGCAGTAATTTCACCAAGATAAATGCTAAAAAAAAAATGCTTCGGTTATGCTTGACATTGTAAAATTAAATGAGGTAAACAGCTTTAAAAGAAATTCAAACAATGATTGCAGTTTTATATATCATTTTTTCTCTAGGGATTCTTCGTATTCTTATTCCACTGTGTTTGTAATTCAGAGGTAATCTTTAATTTTAAATATTATTGAGTTCAAAATATAAATAACAAAATATTTCCCTCGTTGTTCTTTAAATTGTGTTTTTGTAGCACGCTTCATGTCTGTTTAATCCTAGCTGTATTTCAAATTCAATTGTTGTTGACACATAAATAAAAAAAATTGTTGGTGTTGTGCAAAAGCTGATACATGTGATATGATTTATATCTTTCATAAACAATTTAAAAATATCGTCAATAAAATTAGCCATTCAGAAAATAAATCCAATTTCCTCATAAAACTTTCCAACCGAGAATATAAAATGTTTAAGCTGATCAAATCAGTCTGTATTCTGGCGTTTTTGAGCATAGCCATTATTTCACTCTGTGCATTAACTATAATTTTAGCTCATTTAGGCCAAAGTTTCAAATAAGCATACTCTTTATTGAAATATGCCTGGCTTCACTGGATGTCACCCCGTCGCCTGTCGACTACAATCTTCTTCAATAATTGAGAAATTTCTTCTTGGCAAAAAGTGTCACTGGGTAAAGCGAATTTTAATTTATTTCATACAAAGATCATTTTTCAATTCATTGGTGGATAATAAAAATTGCAAAACTTACATGTAAGAATTATATAAAACATTTTTTTTTATATAAAACCTTGTTTGAAATACCGAACCTAGGTCAATATTGGGTTTCATGAAGGGTTCAATACCTAGCATGATAAAATAAATGAAAAAAATTCTTGCTAAGAATGACGATTTATATCAGAAAATTAAAATGCGATGCCATTTTTCCCTGAGAGAGGAATGGAGTAAAAAGAAAACACTTTATGAATATCATTTTCAAGAACGACAATGTTACATCTTAAGTTTATTTGTTAATACCTTTACAAAGGCCAATTTCAAGTGTCACGAAGGATGGTCATGAACTGATTCCTAAAGTTGAGATTTTTTTCTTATAAGATATAAGAAAATTCCTATAGGGATGTTGTGCCAGTGAACACTTAAGTTTTCAGTGTCAACTGTCAAGTCTATGTGCATAACACTCATATATTGAATAAATTTACACTTTCTATTTTATTATAGTGTTTGTAAATTCCGGAGACAACTGTCACTTCTTTCAACTAACTTTCTTTAGGTTAGGCAGGCACTTCAGAGATTAAGAGAGAAACGCATTTTGTCAAAAGGAGAAGTTATCACCACTTCGGACATACCAACTCAGACTGTAAGTCGATTTTTTTGAAACACACCATTGTCAAAATCTGAGTTGGATAAATGTTAAAGATATGTCAGTTTAATTTTTAAAATAGGACGATCAAAGAAAAGGGAAAAGTTTTGCAGAAATCATGAATTTATCTTTGGAAATTGGGTACTCCTTGTCCCAGTAATACTTTGTATTGCTACATGTTCTTCATTATAAAACAATAAAATAAAAATTGATAAAGGTTCATGATAAATTCTACATATTTACTTTAAGAAAGAACATCCACTGAACTCATCTTTGTATGGGGGAGTGTTTTTGCATTATATATGGCAAATTGTTTGCAAATAATTGCAAAACTTGGCGACATGACGCAAAATATTTGCGAATAAAGAAGAAACATTTATAAATAAACACACGCTTTTGAAATATAAAGCGAATCTTAATTTTTCGATCAAAATCGAAGTATTAGTGATATATTCCGAAACATGTAGTGTGTTGACATACAACTTATTAATCAAGAAGTTACATGTTTATGCAACTTTTTATGTTCGATTTCTCTATTATTTTATAACATGCATGTATAATAAATGAATTACTATATGATTGAATAATTCTTTGGTCTCTGATTGGCTCGAATCAAATTTTGTAGAAATCATACTAAGCTATGTTCGCCCTGCACGAGACCTGCCAGGTGAACATAACATTTCATTTAGATCAAGAACTTCCAAACTGATAAAGTAGTTATGGAAAGTTATATTCAGCAGCACCCTAATAACCTTCTAGCTGAACATAACATTTTATTTTCTACATTGGACCAAACTTCTGAATTGATACAATTGGTGGTGAAAAGAAATAATACGTTCGACCAAACTTCTGAACTGATACTATTGGTTGTGAAAAGTAATTTCACCCGACTTCTGGATGAACATACCATAAACATTCTCGAAATATAAGGTGTGACAGACGGACGGACGGACGGCATGTTTACATGTTGGTATTCATATCTTGGTTGGCAGTACGAAATGGTTTACCAATGATACCTTCCGCGTTTAAAATTATGTCGCAAAGATTAGACATTGAAGAGCGTTTGAAGTTTTCTGCCACAAAAATGAGCTCAATAGGTTTTAGTAAATATGGTATTTTGTATTATATCAAAAATGATTTTAAGAGCAAGATTGCAGTCTGTTCTTTTTCAAATATTATGACTGAAGAAAGAACTGAAAATTAAATGATAGACAAGAACCCGATATTCTGTTGTATTCTTTTGATACTTTGTTTATTTACTTTTGGATAAAACAGCATTTTTATGTTTGATTTGATAGGATGCGTCAGTTTCAAAGGAAGGAAATATCCCAAGACAAAACTCTAGACCAGTCAAACATTACAAAACATATTCACGTGTTCAAGTGACTTCATTAACGCACGTGAATAGCAGAGAAGGCATTGAAGCAGAAGGTAAATTTAAGAATATTTTAATAATAATCAATAACTACTCTACCATGATTAATTTAACATGAGTCCATAACATTGTTAATACAGACCTATTAGTTAATCTGACTTAAAGTTGCAAATTCCGCGTGTTATGTGAAACAAATCTTATTAGAAAATCTAATCCATATACAAAACATTAATTAATTGTCTACAATAACTTAAACAATATTATAGCTGACGTTTTAAACGTTTAAAAAAGGTTCTTTAAAAAATATTTGTTTCGAGCTATAATTTTTTTGATGAGAAATGGTGTTTTTTATTATAAAAGATGATAAGCTGTTCATTATCAGTTTGAAGCTACATGTATGTAAGCAAGCTTTAAAGATGCAGTTTTATGATTTTAGTTTGAAATCTCTTAATGACAGCAAAGTGTTTCGTTTTCCGATATTGACTTGTTCTCGAATGCAAAATCTATTTCAAATGAATAGTTAATGCGATAGCTTTGATAAAAAATACAAACATGGGTTACATAATGATTGAGACGGTTTGCAAGACAGATGGCAAAATATGAATAATGTATATAATAATTGATAAAGAGAAAAGTGATCAAGTGTTTACCTACTCACGAGTCCTTGTCAAATAAAGTGTCAAATATCTATTGAGTATATGCATTTACTCTGATAGAAGCGACGTCTGATAGAAGCGACGAAGTGATTCGCCAGGGAACAATAACAATAGATACGAGAACTATACTTTTACCTAATAATAAAAAGGGAAAAGATGCCATTTTGCACTCTCTTTAGACATTGCCCAAGTTTTAATGGTAATCGCGGATATTTCTGATTATGCATATTTATATGTTTACACAATGAAGTTAATAAAAAAAACATCTGAGAATATCAATATTTTGACTGGTATACATAAGATGCATATAAATATTTTTAAGGGCATTTATTTTCAATTATCAGCGACCATTTCTAAAGCATTAAATGAAGTTATAAACAATTCTAATGATGAACGTAGTTTTCCCTTTTTGTGTTGATGGAACGATTGTATGTTGTTTAACGTCGAATTCGAGAGTTTTTCACTCAAATAGAGTCTTCACATTATACCAGTGAAGGGCTTCAAAATTAGACCTTGACTCGGCACCCAGGGCCATTGAGCAGTGAGGGTTCTCTATCGCGCCAAAGCCTACCGTGACAGAGAACATCGGTTTTTAGAGTCTCATCCGAAAGACCCGCAATTTTAACTTCAAAGTGCCGAGCGCTTGGGGAAAGAAAAGTTGCTACCTTTTCTATAGACTAGGTCTTTCGCGGCCGGGGCTTGGACCCAAATTTTCCGATCACGGGACGAGAGCTCTATTGACAGAACTACGTGACATGTATCTTGTATTGATAATCACATACATATATGTGCTTTATTTTTATGATATATGATTTTTTTTTTTTCGTTTATTGTAGTCTTATTCAATCGTATATGATGTTTATTATTTTTTTCTCTTCTTTATAATTAAATTTTAAAACATCTGACAGAGTAGTGAAAAAAAATGTCGTTTTAATATTTTGATACGAACACTAATGATGAATGTCCAAAATCGAATGAATACGTTCAAGCCAACATATGACTTTACATGTATATGTCAAATAAAATGTTCCTGATTGATACATTATTGCATTTGAAAGCGCTAATGATATAATTGAATCATTATAGTACAAATTTCGACTTTTGCATTTCTCTTACCTAACAGAAACAATTACTGTTTTGCAGGTGGCATGAAACTTGAAGACGTTGACCGTGATAACGAGCTCGTTTTCATTTGAGGGAAGCTGAAAGTTTTTATGTTAATGAGGAAAACAATGTTTTCAGTCGGGGATCTGAAAATCAGATTAAATTTCCATCGATTAGGCAAACTATATATATTTAATATTGTTATGTTGTAACAGATAACTAAAGATTTTTGTGATAGAAATGAAAATTGAATATTTCAAATAAAGCATCTGCAGATGAACACTA